CTAGCTAGCTCCCTCCCCTTACACACGACGATGTCCCCACACAGCGGCATCCGGCACAGCGAGCAGACGCTCGGATGGCGTTCGCCGCCGTTCAGGGACGAGAGCGAGCTCGTGCTTCCGCCGTTTTGTGGGGTGTGGCAGGTGACTGGGGAGGGCGCGGGCTGGAGGTTCTCGGGGTAGTTGAAGTAGACGGCTTTGTAGAATGCTGAGGCTGTGGTGGTGACTGGGGAGGAGGGGGATTCTGGGTGTGGGTTTCGTGAAGAGGCGGTGTGGGGGAAGTATTCTGAGAGAGGGGGGGTTGTTGGGGTGAGCTGTTTGGGGGAGATGTTAGTTCCCGAAGGGGAGTATTTGTAGGGTAAATAAATAAGAAAGTACCTTTTGGGTGTTTGATTGTCTAGTTTCTCGGAGGTAGATCTCCATGTCTTTTGGGGTAACTTTGTAGGAATCGTCCTAGAGAGAAGAAGAGAGAGGGAGAGTTAGAAACTTGTCGTCATTGAGGTAGTAGATAAGTAGTATCTTCAAGGAATGAAATGGTGGTAAATTTGAACTTACACAGAACCAAAAGATGCCCCTGCCTAGCAAGAACTCGTCGAAATTTCGAGGCTCAAATGTGTATGGTGAATTCTCCATTTCAGGATGTTGTGGTGAGAGGTAAGTAAGTAGTATAATTGGCGGTACACTCTTACAGTATAGGGCGGTAGTAGTGGTGATGTCGATATATCCTGGGAAGTTTGGTCGGTAGTTGTAGTTGTGGATTCAAGACAGTAGATGGGCTGGGTGTTGTAAGGCTTTTAAGCAAATTGGGTTTTATTGTGCCGCTGCTCAAAGCTGCGCCAGCGAGGAAAATGATGATCGAGTTGGAAAGGTATATGAATCGCTATAGTCGATAATTGATCCAGGCGAGCGAAACGTTCCCTCCAATCAGAAATTCGTTGGTCTCCGAAATACCCCCAGAGAAAGTCGAAAGTCAATGAGCTCGATCGATTGCTCGCTCAAGGGTGGCAAAAGGTTTCGAAGACGGCGTTGACGTGCGAGAGTGAAGTGAATGAATGGACAGACAGACAAGACAGATAGACAGACAAGCTTACAGCGGGTGCTGGAATGCGGAGTATATTACGGCCTTGCATAAAAAAAAGTGGGGAATGCGAAAACTTATACTTGTGCTCCTCGCGACTTAAGGTATATATGGTAATGGTGGTTGTGAAATATTCCCATTGGTATTAGGGCCAATTTTGGGTGGTGAATGACATGACACAAACCATTTGTGTTGGTACGCTGTAAGTAATGTGTGGCTTGCTATCAAACTTTGACCATGCCACTCTGCCGTCTTGTCTCTCACTCACTGCCTATCACCCCCATCCATCCACCCATCCATCCATCCCCATGTCGAAAAGAAAAATGTTTGGTGGGGATGTTTGGCGCCTTCAATCAAACAAGAAATATAATCATAGAGTCATCATCATGATCAATACGGCATGCGGAGATCTAGAGAGAGAGAGAGAGAGATCAAGGTGAATAAGCCTCCTTGAACCGAAAAAAAAAGCACTAAGTTGGGAAGCATGTTGTTCCCGATATGGCGCACATGAAAGCAAGACAAGCGGCGGCCAGCTCAGAAGCGCAGTTGGAAAAAAAATAAAATGTTTCTAGTAAGATTAGCATAAAAACAAGAGCAAGGTTCACATTTTGGTAGATGAATACCATTTTCGTGTGGGATATAGGGAGGGCGGGGTGGGTGGGGTGGCTAAGTTTGTCCTCCGTTCCAGAAGTACAATTGTTCTCTCCGCAATCTAGTTTGAGACATAACGTCCAACCACATGCTTATGACCTAACCGAAAATCGTTGCCAGTCAAATTTGTCTTTATGGATTCAATCACCCTGCAGTTATGTCATGAAATTGAAATGTTATCAAACCCGTCGTTATTTTTTTTCTGTGATCTATCGCTGCATTGCGAGCGGTCTTTTTGTGTTTCTTTCGCAGCCGATGCCAGTTATTTCGTTTGTTTGCAGAATCGCATTTGTCGGTTCGGTTAGATTATGTTTCTGGTGATGGTCGAATGTGGTAATGCAAAATCGCAACATAATCTGCCGCATGCATTCCAAAGTTCCCGAAGCGTGCCCAACTGAAGGAACGAACACATCCGAAAGCCCCCGCACCCCCCCAGCCCTATCCTTCCGCGCAGCCCCACAAAACCCGCTCCGGGGGAATTGTTTTGCTTTAGACATTTTGAATCCAAGGTACATCCCCATGTGCTTCGTAGCCTCGAGCTCTGGCCCCACAGTTCGCAGCTCTCAGCCCGCGATGGAGCCGACGGCTAGCCTTGCTATAATAAACTGCATGTGAAGTAAGTGCGGTAAAGACCCCCGAAGCCGAGGGTAGGTGATTGAGGTTGCGCATCGGAGTATGCTGCTCGTATCGTGTCGTAGGGAAGCGTTCTCGGGCTGAGCTGCCAGTATCCGTCGCACAAAACCACTGGAGCTGCAAACACCCTCTCCGCAGCAGTACGAGGCTTATGGGGACGGGCACCCCGCTGTCGCGTGGTCATCCCAAAACCATTGCCGAGCTGCATGGCCAGTTATTGCGTCGCTTTCAGCGAGGCGTCTCAACTCTCCAACCGCAACATATGCCCATGATATTGCTTCCCCTTGTATCACGGAAAAGGTCGGTCGTTATCGATCGGCGACCTTGGCCTGGGTATGGAGTGTGGGGAAAGGTAGGGCGAACGTTGGATGGCGAAGATCCTGTGCCAATCGTTCCCCATGGATCGGTCTCGGACGCTCCCTGATCTGGGGCATATATTACTGCATCCAAGTGTCCGATTACCGTCCAAAGGTTACCGTTGCCGGCTTGCTGCTTGGATCCGGACCGCGCTGAGCGGAGGGGTGATGCTGCCGGAGCACTGCCATCTCACCGCAGCTCGTGAGGGTGCGAATCGGGGCTATGGGTGCGTATGGCGAGTTGCGTGGCAAAGGTAAGGCTTCCGCCTGTCCGTCTTGTGGGTGTTTGAGACTTTGTCGAGATGTGTCGAGTCGTCCATGCTCTCGCTCGAGGGCCATCTCGACGTCACACCGCCAAGCTTGGCACATGAATTGTGGGGAAGCGCACGCTTTGGGCAGTTGCAAAGCCCACTAGTCATGTCCAGATGTAGAAATCGTTTGACCTGCTTGGCCAGCTCACGCAAACGGATTCAGTTGATACGAGGCGAGAGGAATAGTCTCGTGCCCAGCCCCTCCGGCGGAGGAGGAGTAAGGGATTGAGACCTCCGCCTCTCCGAAGGTTTGGGCATAAGCTTCCTGGGTTGAGACATTCTCATGATATTCCCCCGCGGCGCCGGCCGTTCAGCTCTCGAGGAGCTTCTCTGCCTTGTTCGATCTCCCTACTTCATCATTTCAATCATCCACAGTATAGCTTGGAGGTAAACTTTTACTCAACTGCAGCTGGCATGGGCACCTGACGGCAACTTATAGATTATGCTCTTCAGCCCTCCGCCCAACAAACCAGTCCTTTACGAGTGGAAAGTATTAGCAAACGTGCGTACTGGATACGGACGGAGCTCTGGGATGTTTTCGTGTTTAAACATGGCCCCCCTCGTTTTTGGAGCTTAACGAACTGCCTTTGTGAACTATCATGCTTTCGGGTCCACGAGTTTCTCAAACTCCGGGGCTCCACTGCTTCCGCTATGTTCACCGGTAACAGCCTACTACTACCATTGATAACAGCCTACTACTACCATTGACTTCCCACAGTCCTGGCTCGACTTTGATCATTTAGGACCTTCCTCTATTTCAGCCTTACTTTTTAAATTCTAACGTCATTTCCATACTATTGGTCCGCAACCAAGTAGGCGCTTCGGGGTGTCGTCCAATCATTAGAGACTATATATGAAGAGTAGGATGCTGATGCATTTGCGGAAAGTCTATGCAAAGGAGCACTTTCGGATCCCAAACATCTTGTTGGGCCATGCATGGCCAATGAACACGCCTTGAATACTTCAAGTTCAAGTTTATGTGCAAACGTTAACTCGAGAATTCGAACGAGCTTGACTAGTACTCATGACCAGCTGCTAAATTTAGTCTTTTACCCCAGGATTTCCGAATCCATGAGCACAATGACACGCATCTGAAGCTCCACAAAATTGAACCACTCGCGAGAACAACATAAACGTTACCTCCATGTGCAAGGGATCTCAAGGTTCACGGCGAAAAGTAGGTATACACTTATAATTAAGTAGGTACTGTTTCCTACTGGCTATTGCCAGTGTCTACAGCCAATACCTCGACGAGTTCCAGAAGGTTAATTTTGCGTAAAAACTAGGAGAAAAATCAATTAATCCCGCAGTGGCGAACCGGAAAGCTTATATTCCCCACACCCCAGAGTACTGTTATAGCTGGAACGTTGACGAGAACACTCCATTGTTCAATTACTTACAGGTAAGAAGTAAGCTTACTACCCACACTTTTCGTGAAATCTAATGTGCCGGTCTTTCTTTTACTCTTCGGTCATTGGCGGAGCCTATAGGATCAGCAGCCAGGTGGGAGCTCAAACAGTGTCATGGGTTCATTTTCATACATTGTAACGCATTCAATTGAAATTTAGCTGCTGCTATCTCCGGATCTTCAGGTAGCGACCTGCTGTCCATCGGGTCCCCGGATTTTCGAGAGACACGAGACTGTAATTGAACTTTTGGGATTCAAATGTGCATACTTACTTCAAGTAATAAGGTAATAGCTAGAATTCGTGATCAACAGACCTTAAATCCTTGTACCGAAAGGCGAGGATGTACGATACTTCAGCAAGCTACCTAGGGTAATTGCTCCTCAATTCATGAAACCACAAGCCGAAAGCTAAATTCGTTCGTGCTTCCTTGGATGGTTATATTCTCCAAGCTTGAAAGGCCTTTGAACAATTCTCATGATACATGATGGAGGGGGGGGGCATGGAACTGAATAATTATAATGATACGGATCGATGGAAACAACTAACTTCCCCCAAAACATCAATAGGTCGCGTGGCTCAATTGGCAGAGCATCGTGCTAATAGGTATATTAGCTTATCGTAACGCGAGGGTTGTGAGTTCGAGTCTCACCGTGACCATATCTTTTGCTGCTTTTTTTTTCTGAAACAGTTTGGATTTGGATGGACGATTCTTGTGTGTGGAGTGTATTCGTTACTCGAGCGAGACTGAGCCCGGGTTCGTCAATCTGCATCATTAGGATCAACCATAACTGGCTGACATAGCTGAGGCATGCAGAAATCTAAGGTGAGGCAAAAGCTGAATCCGCCAGTCAACCTCGAACTTGTTCATGTGGGCACTGGGGACGAGGCTAATGTTGGCAGACCTCTGACCGTTGCTCGGCTCTCACAGTCTCGAAATAAAACGGCTTTCTGGCGAACTTCGAGATTGCAGGGCACGAGACTACCTAGGTAAGTATCTCAGGCTGCATAAGACTAACAACTACCTATTCGGGAATGAGAAAGGTAGCCTTGTCACTAGACTCGTCTTGTCACTCCCTCTTAAGGAATTTCCTAAGATGGTAGTAGTACTCCGTACACCACTTTCAGCATTCTCAATTCCAATTTTATCACCCCACACGAGACTACTTCCCACACGCTTTGATATACCACCCACTCTCCTCGCACTCACCACACACTTGCCAACGATCAATACCTACCAACTTTTCAACTCAGATTCCATGTTCACGATCTCGAAACTCTCCTTACTCCGTACCAAGTCATCCCATCAGGCTTCTGTTTAACAAAAAAATGGAATTGGCTTCAACCATGCACTCCAGATCCCCACAGAGGGCAAAACGAAGGAAAGAAATCCACACAAATCAATCCTCGGCAGTGGACTTAGCTGGGTGCTTACTTGCTCTGACTTTTTTCAATATCGGTCACTGAATTACCTGGTTTACCAAGAGTCGAAACTTAGTCAAGAGGCGCATAAGTTAGGTAGGCCCAGAGAATATCACAGTGGAATTTATAACAAAGATACACGAAGTAGCCTCTTTTTCCTGTATGAATGAGGCGTACATAAAGAAGAGCACGATATATAGCCCAAGAAATCAAGTGGTTATAGAATATTTCAATTACTTCTTCGAATTTGACCTCAACCCCTTTACATTACTTGGTTAGACAGACTTACAAAGCGGTCCTTCTTCGGAATTGAACATTGACGCCGAGAGGTGGAATAGTGTTCCCCTTGAAATAACCCAATGCGGGTATGGAATCCATGGGCTTTAGCTCATAGTTCTCGATCATACATCTCATCATTGTCTTGACTTCGTCGACTGCAAAAAATCTGCCAGGGCTGTATGACATTCAAACAAGTCAGTATACCGCCCCCAATTCGATCAAGATTCACTGAAAACTCACCATGCATGCTTTCCATGGCCAAATGGCAGAAAGTCATTTGCAGTTGTGACCGCAGAATTCTGATCAATTGCGCCAGTAACGGAGGAAGGATCCAACTCTTGGTAAGGTCTGGAGAATCGGAAGCCATCGAAACCATCGGCACCTTCGCTCGCAAAGCGGGTATGACGTTGTATAGCTTCAGCTGCAACACCGACAATTTCTCCTTCTTTAATCCAAAGTCCATTTGAGAACGTATACCCTCCCTTTTGCTTGCATTTGCGTAGCATCCCTACGGTACTCGCCATACTATGTCCAAGGGACTCCCGAAGGAAGCTATCAAGTCCAACTAGCTTATTGAGCTTTCGTTTTGTCCATATCCCAGCTTCCTCTTCACTGTCCTTGTCAACTGCACGAATCTCTTGATGCAGAGTTTCCCAGTAGGTACCGCCCGTTGTCGGGGTATGTCCTGCGCAGTGAAGAATACACCAGGCAGTGGTGGTAGCTGTGGAGTGAATCGAGGCGAGGTTGATAAGCACATATCTTATACTAATATCTTTCAGAGTATAGTGTTCTGGCCCTTGTCTGCTAGCTTCTTCGATGACATATTGAAGCATATCGTCCTATTCAAGAACACCGTTATATTAGTGAAAGCTATATTGTTTACGCCGATTTTCTGATTCGGGGAGGGTCTTTGAAGTAAAGTACCGGTTCTTTAGATTTCTCAGCAGCGTCATTTAAACGGTTCTCGTACAGTCTCACTCTTTCTCTTATGACTGGTTCCAGGATCTTGACAGCAGCTCTCAATTTTCGTTTGAAATTAAAAGTAAATAGGGGCGCTACTACTCTGAGGGTTTTAGTTCGGAGCATTAGCAATATTCATCTTCAAGTCCAGATATTTCCAGAGCTATCGAGAGAGACCTACGGTTGCAGTGATAGTGGAAAAATGGAAAGGCCCATCCCCGAGAAAATGAGATTCATGATACATTCGAGGATATTTTTTAGAAAGACCTCATTACGACCTATTATTAACGCATTAATTGACAACGTTAGTTACTACTCCCTTGCCATCCTTTTAGAGAACTGATCATGAGGTATCACAGGCCGGGGGTGCTATTACATAATTCAGTGCCAGAAAAGACCCTATTCGACACTCGAGATATAACTTCCATCAAAGTGTCGCTGATATTAAGCCCAACCCAACCATCTTCATCAACTTTCTGCTTCCCCTGTGCATCTGGTGTGAAGTATTTGCGATCCCAGACCTCTTTGAAGCTATAGATAACCTCTTCGTCCAGGTTTCCATATATTTTCGGCAGACTAGCAGTTAGCTTATACCGAATCAACCCCACATGATATGGGTGGCTAAGCAGATATTCTGATCCAAAAATAGTCGTCAGAGATAGGTCGTCATTGAACGCATCTCCCAATGAGAAGACGCTTTCTGGTATCGTCTTTAACTCATTTACAAGCGTTGGAGGTAAACAATGAACGTAGCCGACTAATTGATAAGGTGCTAGGAATGCGGTTGGTGACTCTCCGTGGGCGTGGTACTTGGCGTGACCTTTATCATAAAGGTCGAACGACTTCAAATACACACTTGGAATTGCAAGAATGCGGCCGAAAATTCCTGGAGAAACACCGTGTACTGGAAGCTTTGATGGATTGAAATCGCGGAAAGTCGTATAGTGAATCAATTTGACGAAGACAGCAAGGACAAGGAGGCCAAAGCACCAAAGCGGACTTAGGCCAGCGATTGCAGAGAGGGCTGTCGCCATACTGCTGACACTTCTATCGCCTGAAGTTGCTGTTCTCGGCTCCAATGTTGAATGTTTTTCAGAGCGGTCTGAAGTTGATGAGGTTTGAAGAGCTCTTGAGATGAAATGGGCTACAGCTGCTCTTATCTAAATGCCCCAGGCCTTTAAGTGCACTGGGTTAACCCAGCAAAGCTTTAGGATTTTAATCATTACGAAATAATCCGGTACACTAGGTCCTCAACACAACCCCTGAAGATCTGCACCAATTCACCCATAAGGAGAGATATGTTTATGCCAGCCGCATGAACCAGGGTACCTTGTGCATAGGGTGCCGGCACTCAAATCACACAAATATGTGCTTCGATTGATATGGATGGAAGCCCATTGGCCAATTGGATTTCTGCCATGATGGCGAGCTCAAGACCGCTGTTTCCTGAATCTCGAAGCGACATTATTCTTCTACCTTCAAAAATCTGTGATAACCATGGTAGCGGCCATACTAGATATTTTCTAGCCATGACCATGGCCGTGGTCCCGGGCTCAATGCATTTTCTTGCCCACTGGATTCATACTCGAGTACATACCTAATGTGCATGGACAAATCTTGATTGAAAACTAATGTATCCAAGTACTGAAATGGTGGTGGACAATTCCTTGCCCAAATTGCAACAAAAGGGTTGTAAACTTTCGCCAGTATTCTGGCCATGATGTTGATTGCAGGATACCAGTCTGCGGAAACCGCCATTGTTCCAATTGGCATGTTTCGCTAAAGCCCTACGGTCAGTCTCGAATCAAACTATCAAAAGTCCCCGACACTCGCTAATTTTTTGCCGATTGGCAACAGCAAAGTCTCGGTTGCGATCGATCAGTTATCAGCACCTACATAGAATACAAGACTTTAATTTCCTCGGCGACTTTTGATTTGGTGATGCTCCCTTCGTGATTACAACTTACTTACTCAAAAAAACAACCACTAACATATGCTGGTTCCAGTGGACTTCAGCATGAACCAAGTACCTAGGTACCGATTCACGAAATCATCAACAATAGTCTCATTCCCATCAACAAGTCACAGATGCACTTCCTGATTTGGTTCTGATATATTCGTTACTCAATATAGTTCCCTCGCTCCGGCATGTATGCATATGAATAATTAACCTAATCCATATGTTATGCTGCAAGGGAAATATTAATATGCCTTAATTTCACGAGTCAATATAGCTAGGTACCGTTGAGATCGATATTCAGCAACAGATCTTGATGCTTTTCGGCCTCAACAAGAATTCTAAACATTACCACAGCGCGCCCCCCCCCCCGTCGTCAGCCACAACCTTAAATTCAAATGAACTCCATTGATCAGTGTAGGGTACAGGAGACAAGCATTGGACGATAATAAACACTTGAACGGATTGAGCTTTTCAAGCTGCAGAAATCGTCTTGGGGATGACTTTTATGGGAACGAGAGTAACTTTTATGGGATGTCAGGTCGCATGGCTTACGGCTGCCGGGCGATATCCGAGCTCGAGCGAGAAAAAACAAAGAACCTCGTTTCTAGATTTAGACTGCCAACGAGTGACGTTTGGAATTCGAATCAGCGATATCGATTGGAAATGAATCTACTTGAACGAAATACCATCCTTTGTGGCCTCGCAAGGAGCTATCGATCGATAACACTCCCAGACTGCTTCGACTTGGGTACATAAGGTACGTACCAACATGAGCTGTATATCTGTTTGCAATTGCTAAGCATTTGAATCATAAAGACCAATTACAATTGATCGAAGAGGTGGGTCAATTAATAACTTACATAGGTACTAGTGACTTCTTTAAATTTATCGAGCTGCAGGTTCGAACGTTCTATCTATCCTTATACCAAGTAGGTAAACAATCAGATATATAAGTATTTTTACTTATACTTATTAAACTAAGAAGATGTAGGTAAGTAATACCTAGGCCTATAGCTACCTAACCTATTGATTCTGGCTT